CCCCAAAACCCCAAAACCCCTTTTTGCTTTGATTTCAAATAATAGATAAATACTTAAATCAATTTTTCTGATTTGTCATTAAAGATTTTAATTATCCACTAGTAATCAACCCCTTGAGCATATCAATATCAAGATCCTAAGCTGCTCCAAACATTTATAACTCAGTTTTTCTATCTCTCAGATTTTTAATCAGTAAATTCCTTACCAATGGCTTATCTTGTAAATTGTTTTTAACATGATCGCTAAGTTCTTCAAATATTTATACAAGTTCCTTTTTATAGTTAAGTCCTTTAAATATCTCCTATGATTTAATTTCTCTGCCTGTAATTGTAATGAATTCTTTAACTATATTAGGATTAGCTCTTAGTTTGCTTAGTAATTCCACATTTTTTATAAATGTTGACAGATAGTTTAACTTGAAATCTGCTTCATTATCTATAGTATGCTTGAGTGATTTATTATTTCCATGCTTTCTCAGTTTCACTAAAACAATGCCAAGATTAGCAAACTTAAAGGTGCTCTACTACATTAAATCAAGCCAAAGCTTATAATCCTCCATTGATATAGATTAATAGGTTTGCCCATTATCATCACTAAATATTTCAGATCTCATCATAACAGATGGATGAGCTAAAGCACAATAATATAACATGGTGTATCTAAGCTATTCATCATAAGCAGGATGACAAATAATTTTGGGCACAATATTATCTCCGAAAGTTATCACTGAAGTTCCTAAAATAGATATACCTCTGTTACTTTCAAGATAATTTCTCTATATCTCAAGTCTTTATGGCAAAGAATAATCATCAGCATCCATTCTTGCAATATATTTAAGCCCCTCTAAACTTAATGCTATTCCTATACCGTGCGCGAGTGCCTTAGCAATTCCTTAATTTTCCTTTAATCTATCGTATATGATTCTCTTGTCCTTATATGACTTTAGTTGTGGGTGAATTTTATCATTTGTAGATCCGTCATTTACAATAATAAATCAGAAATTCTAGTAGGTCTAATTCAATATACTTTTAATAGCTTCGTTTAAGTACTCAATATCATCATTATAGACAGTCATCAATACAGCGATATCAGGTTTATCCTTGTCGGATAAATTTCTCGGGCTTTCAATTTATTGATGATTATGAGATACTAGAATGAAATCTCCGATGTGTACAGAATCGTAATACCTTTTAGAGTAGTATTCATTTATATCATATTCTTCATTTTAATCAAAATACCTATTCATTATTTACAACACATCTTACTCTTCGTCAATCTATTCTGATTTTTTGTCCTCAGTTTCACTTACTTGAAATTTGTAAATAGGAGTTGAATAAACTTTTTGCACTTTATTGACAGTAATCACTGTCATTACAGGCTCATTTAGACATAAAGAGAAGTCTTTATTCTTTGCTAACTGCTTATTTTTAATTGTCTAATTTCCAATAAATTCAAATTTATTAGGCTGTAAAATTTTATCTGTATCTTCAATTTATTTAAAAAGATCAACCATGTCTTATTGACGATATATCGATCCACAGAAATCAAATGGATAGTTCCAATCTAACTCAGTATCACTTCTTTTGTATTTAAAATATTTAAGCGAAGTGGAGTTAATTGGCTGAAATTTTGGCATTCTTGAAATTAGTCTATTATTCGTATGTGAAAAAGTGATTCCTGGATAAAGTTTTAAATGAGCTGTATATATTGTATTGTCTTTCTACAAGAGTTGAAGTATTTCTAAAAGATCAATATCTTAATAAAATATCATGTCATCTACCATTATTTAGAAATAGTTATGACACTCATCTCTACGATTATTAAAAATTTCTTTAACTTAATCAATGGTTTTAACTTCTTTTATAAAATTGTATTGTAAAAATTCAGTCATAATTTTATCATATTTTTCTTCATAGTTTTAGTCTGGTGTAAAAGTATAGAGTACATTGATGCTAAGAATTAGCTCTTTCTTATTTTCATCTTAAAGTTGAATGAATTTTTAACCTTCTATTTTAATCAGATTTTTTGTATTCTTTATAGCAAATCTCTCATATGTTTTCAAAAGTTATTGCAGTTAAAAAGGCCTGTCCTTAGAATAGATTAGAATATTTAGAAAAAACTTTTCTCTTAAAGGCTCTTATTCTATTTAATCAGACTTTTCCATTATTTTTATTTATAATAGTTCAACATTAGATATAAATTAAATTTTATAAAGTTATAGAAAGCATGCGGTATGATATCGTATAAAATTTATTAACTAGCCCAAGCTAACTCAATAACTTAATTTCAAGTAACTAGAAAAAAGATAAAACTACAGTCATATCTCCGTAAAGTGTAGTAATGAATTGCAAAGATTAGTTACTACTCCAATCACCCTTGACTAAAGCACATTCTCTTAATACAAGAAATTATAGAACTGATCCTATCAATTTTAATCTGAAGTTGTAATAAACTTTATCTTATAATACCAGTCACTATCTAGCATCTGCAAATGCATCTCACCCTAAACTGAAATTGCCACATTAAGGTAATACTTCAGGACTAAACAAGGAAATCAGCCAGTTTACTATTGGAAATAAATCTAGATAATCTAAATTTTCACAAAAGAAAAAACCTTAATTAATGTTTGAGCATCTAAATGCATCTACAGGTGCATTAGATTCTAGTGTCATTGTAAATTCCACTGATTACTTAATACAAATGCGAAAGCATATGAACTTAGTCTCTAATTGCAATAGATTTCAAAATAACTTTCTAAATTAAGAAGAGATTAATATGTATCAGACCTAAAACCCCATTAATGTTTACTATTAGATTGCTCAAAACCCAGACTATAGTTTCAACTCAAGATCTTTGTTTCATCCTGCAAGGCATGTAGATGTTAAAAAACTCAGGTAAACTTACGAAACAGATTGCTCTGAAGATTTTAGAGCTGCTTGATTTGCAAAATCTGATGTCAAACAATAACAGCTTATAATGACGAGTTATTCTGGGGATAAAAGGAAGAAAATTTTGTTTAGTAGATGCTAGAGTATGATGGAAAAGAAAAAAAAGGATTTTATGCAGGACTTACAACATCAAAAAGAAAAATTAATTGAAGTGGTTCATAAAAAAAAGAAGTAGAGTATAGATAATGGTATTGATGGGTAGCCTGAGCACAATAAATCGATCAATGATATTGTAAATGAGGAGCCTGAAAAACCTCTCACTGGCTACAACTACAGAAAGTACTTCAATGAAGCTCATATTGTGTTAAACGCAACAAAAAGTGCTATTAGATTAAAAAATATAAATAGAATCGCAGACTTATCTATGATTGAGATGAGAAAAGGGCTCTAGTAATAGAAATATGAAATATTACGAAACAAAACCAAGCTAAAGGCACCAGTAATTAGTATCAATAAAAAGTCTATTGTATGAGAAATGAAAGAATGGAACTAATAGTCACTATATCAATACACATAATGATAGTATAGTATAGAGTGAAGTAAGATAGTCTTAAGTTAATACCATATTAAAGAATAATTTACTACAATTTCTATTAATTCTTATCAATATCAGAAATTGAATGGATGCTCGTATTATCTTTCATCAGGCACAAGCTCAGCTAGCTTTTTCCTATAGGCCTCAGAATCATTAGCTAAGTTTGTCTTAGTTGTATTATCCTCAGCCAAAGTCTTTAAGAAACTATTGAGGAAATTAAAATATTTCTTATTAATCTTACTGTTCATCAAATTTCTCAATGATAGGGTATATATCATCATTGTTTCTAAAATCTCCTTCTTTCCTTGGTATGATATGAATGTGCAAATGATTAATAGTTTAACCTGCTCCTGATCCCTCTTGAATTGATATAGTCGAAGAATTGGTCCCATAATGCTCTTGTAAAAATCTTGTCAGGAGCTGAACAGTCAGTGAAATTTCAAATAAATCCTTTGTTTCTAAATCTCTATATCTCACAACTGGTGCTTTAGGACAGACCAAAACATCTAGGCATCATAACTTAAATCATTAATAATTTACGGCCGGGGGTTATAGGGTTGTGAACCACCATTGCAAACACTCCTCCTCTGATGAAGAAAATGTAGGCTGGATTGATTTGTATATTAGCGAACTTAATAGATGCTGATGCCATTTTAGAAGCAGTAATAATTTAATTATAAATTTGATTATGAACTTAAAATATATTAATAAAGTCTCTAATTAATAAAATCAATGTTTCACCCTAACTGAATCACCAATTAATATCAGTGCTCTTTTTCTAAGCCTTAAGATTACTAATCCTCATCTGCTTATTAGATTCCTGGGTAAAATCGTCATTGTTTTAATGTAAAGTGCTTGAATCGATAATTGCAAGTTCTTCAGCTATTAAGGACTCCATCTGCGCCTCCATATCATACCTTTCTCTTTCACTTTACACTACTCTCAAATCCTCTGGTTCATTCATAAATATGTTTCTCATATCAGATTTAGTTTTTATTGGGGATCTCTGTTAAGATTTCTCAATTACTTTTTCCTTTTTAATTGCATCCTAATAACTAGATCTTTTTCTAGCTTCACTATTAGCCTACCCTCTGTTGAATCTTGCATGCTATGGAGGGTATTCAGATTGAATCTCAATGTTTATCTCCTTTATATCCTAATTTTTAATTATTTAATCCGAGTCGACTTTGTTAGAATCAGAGCTTATTAACATTGAAGATGACTAATAGTCATTATTCTAACCTGTACTTGATTTATCAATACTCTTGATAAGAAGTGTTTTTATTTTATGTAGATTATCTAGTTTCTCAGTGTATCTATGCAAGTAGTCCGATACCTCTTGCTTTACTATCATCATCAAAGCCAAGTTTTCAAACACGTCCATAAACTAATAGTCTTTATGATGATTGTACTTAGGTAGTGTAATCTAAGCTAAATACTCCTACTACTTTAAGTAGTTGAATTCATATGATCTGTCCCAGCCTAAAGGTTCGCCCAAGTATAACAATAATTTCCCATAGTTTGATATTCTTATAAAAGTGGATGCCTAAAACTATAATTAAAGGATTTATATACATCGGGGTCAAAGACAGACCAGGTTTCTCTAAAATGATCACTTGTATCAGAGTTCAGGTATTTATTATCTTTCTCAGTGGTATCATGAAATCCTTGCAAAATAATTGCGATAAATAGCTTGAGGTAAATAAGATCTACAACTAGTACATAAGAAAAGAAATAAACCATCGATATGTAAAAATTTCCACATCCCATTGTTTAGTCTAAAACATGATTGAATAAAAACTTACAGTCATTCTCAATATAATCTTTGTAAGTAGGATTTTCAAGACAAAAATGATTCTCAGAATTAGTTTTTTAATAGTCTTTCATTAGCATTGGCCAATCTTCCCCAGTTGAAACTCTAAAAAGTAGCATTAAAGCGTTTCCCATAGATTGAAAGTTATTCTAAAAGTCAAGGTTTCCAGATAACTTAATATCGGCAAATAAGTATACACCAAGAATAGCATAAATAAACAAGAATAGTAGAAGTAAGCTTCCAACGTTTGCTATTGCAGGCAATGTCAACAAGAACGTTTAAAATATTATCTTAAGTGACTTATTACGACGAAACAACTTGAAGACTCTGCCTATCCTGAATGATCTAACAATAGTAGTATTTGGTCCAAGCTATACCTTCGTCTTAAGCGATAGTATGATGCTGACGAGAGTAAGTATGACTATGACTACATCAAAATTATTCCAGCCATCTTTGAAATATCTGAATCCATAGGCTATAAATTTTATGAGCACTTCAGCTGTAAAAATCGCTGCAAATATATAATTAATTGTCTCTGTGATACTCTCAAGTTCTGAAGGCTAGCCATACCATTAAATTGCTAAAATTACAGTGTTGCTCAAAATACAAAATAATATAAATCGATCAAACAGCATATTCTCTGAAAGTTTATAAAAAGGCTGACGCCAATCCTAGTTAGGCAATTTCATGCGAAGCATTGGCTTAGATTATATAAGCATTATTTTATTTGATAACCATTTTCTTTGCTTTTCTGTTAATAAAAAATTATTGCCCTGTAATTCTTTTTCACGATTATATGTACTTATAACAACCCCCACATACAAATTTAGCAGGAAAAAATTTCCAATAACAATAAGAGCAATAAAGTAAATTGAAATGCTGAAGTTTGCGAATTTTGAGGGCATAATATCGAATCCATTTGCCATTGTGCTTTAATACATTAGATCTACCCAATTTATAGTAGTAGATACTTCAAATAAAGTAGTCATAGCTAATCCAATATGATCAAAAGATTGAAAATATCTAGTCCACAACCCTCCGATATTAAGACAATCCCATTTGCTTTATATTTTTTCCAAATCTAATGTTACTTAGTCTAAATGATCAAAATCACAGTAGTTCAGCTTACCCTTGAGGTAGTTAACGCCAATTACTCCAAATATAAAGTAGAATATCAGTGAAATGATAATCACATTAAGTATTCCGGGAATTGCTATTCCTAATGACTTTACAGATATTCTCAACCCTTCATTCTTTGAGATAACTCTTAATGGTCTTAATACTTTGAGTAGTCTGAGTACTTTTATGACACTCAAATTTTAAGAAGTAATTGCTACTGAAATAAGAGAAATAATTGCAATTAAGAAATCAGCTACATTCCACCCGTTTCTCAAATAACTAGTCGAACCACAAAATAATAATCCATGAGCAACAATTTTTATAATAGCTTCAGCAAGAAAAAAACTTGTCAGGATTACATCAAAGTTATGTAGAAGAATTTATGATCTAGATTCAGGATCACTCAAAGGATTGTCCAGGGCAAGTTGTATGCTGTTACCAATAATAAAAACAATCATAAGGTATTCAAATCTGGTATTATCTACAAGTCTTTTGCAAAAAGACCTAATGATATTCTTATGACTAAATATGAAGAGTGATTTTTTATCTCTGGCTATAATATCTTATGTCGCTCACTCAATCCTTTGCTGTTCCTCTTGCTAATCTGTTAGTTCTTTGATTTAAACATTAAAGCATAGGCAAATCTTGTTAAATAGGGACCTGTATGATTTTTTCCAACTTCCTTTTGCGTGTCTATTAATTGTGTCTTGATGTAATGATACCTGCTCAAAATTTTCAATCAAAATAGCAATGAATAGATTTAGTAGTATATACTATCCGACTATAATCAATGTAATAAAGTAAAAACTAGCAGTCACAGAATCAGTCGCTCGGTAATGATTGAAAAATACTTTACTCCAACCGTCATTTGCTAGAACTATAAACACTGATATAAGCGATTCGATAAATGTATTAAATGTTGATTAGGGATAAGTTCCTTTACTATCATCAAAGACTACATTGTTTTATGAATCAAATTTAGCCTTATATGCAAACAATTCCATTCCCAGCAATGAGTAAGTGAAAATAAGCAAAAGTAACAAAATAGAAATATTAGAGATATCTTTGATAGTGTTTGTTATTACAGTCAATAAACCCTGAAATTCTTTCCAAATCTTAGCGAGCTGGAATATTCTGACAAGTCTAAAAATTCTTAAAGCTGAAATAGCTCCACTCCCAGCTGAATTGTCTAAAAATTATTAATAAGGCAAATCATACTTATATTAGTGTAAGTTAAAGCAACATCAATGGCACTAAAAAGGACAACTAAACTATCAAACCAATTAAATTTATCGCGATAGTAAAATTTAGCTCCGTTAGCACCCAATTTAATTATTAGTTCAAAAGCAAAAATAGAGAAGAATGCTAGATTAAAAGCCTCAAGACTTTCATCAGTCTATTTATCGATAGGGTAACGATCCATAGCTAAAATTATAGCATTACCCACTATCGAGAGCACAATTAGAATGCTGAAAAAATAAGACTTTGAAATATAAAGGCAAAATGAATACCAAGAGTTTTCTTTGGCTCTTACAATCAAAAGGTTATTGGTCATTTCATCACCTATTTTAGTAAATAACTTCTCCATCATATCTTTGCGAATTAACTGTGATTTGAATTTATTGAACAATAATTCTTTAATGTGCTGTTTCATTGTTAACTCTTTGAGGTTAGAGGTTATCTAGAGTGTGACTAAGGTTTTCTCATCAAGTTCATTCTCTATGTCCTCGTCTAAGTTTTTGGGATCATATGATTTAACATCTTTGTCATGCAACTCTAATTTTTTCTACTCTCTCTCAATCATCACCTCCTAGAGTCTTTTTTTAATTTGTGTGATGATTTATTGTTCATTATCAATACCGTATATGTGTTTTTTACTTAATGCATACTTTTTCTTTATTTCCAAGTCCATCTTTTTCAGAACCACTTTTTACTCGTTGAATAATTTATTGAGAATTTTGATTTTTATTTCAAGATCTTCATTCTAATTTGCTTTTTCTATCCT